ATTTTCTTAGGAAATGGGAAAGTCTTTTCTTTTTCTGCAAAATTAGGAGCCTTAATGAGACAGGGCATAATTGTGCTAAGTGTACTTCTATTATAATCTGTAACATTCCTGTAAATTTTGGTTTTAGACAACTGTATTAGTTTGCTAGTGCTGTCATTAAAAAAACAATACTGCAGACTGGGGAGCTGAAACAACAGAAGTTAATTTTCCCACAGTTCTGGGGGCTGGAAAATCCAAGGTCAAGGCACCAGTGAGGTTGCTTTCTAGTGAGGCCTCTTACCTTGGTTTGCAGATGGTGCCTTCTGGCTGTTTTCACGTGGCCTTTTCTTTGTGCATGCACATCCTTGGGGTCTTTTCCTTTTCTTATAAGGACACCAGTCCTATTATAGGATTAGGGCCCCAACCTCATGACCTCACTTAACCTTAATTACCTCCTTAAAGTCCTATCTCCAAATACAGTCATATTGAGAGTTAGGGCTTCAACATATGAATTTTGGGGAGATAAAATTCAGGCCATATTAACAGTTCTTCTCTGTCTTGGTTTTGGAAGGCCTGCAGCAGAAACAGAGGGAACAGAGCTCTAGTATTGAGTTAATTTGTAGGCTTTTTATTATTCTGCTTCTTCAGTGGATGACAAATTCTTTATTTTCTCTTCTTTACCATTTCCACCACTTGTATGTCTATAATGCAGTGGCTTTTAAACATGTTTTGACCATGACCTACAGACAAATATAAGTCAAAGGGCTGGCTGGTTAGCTCAGCTGGTTAGAGCATGGTGTTATAACACCAAGGCCAAGGGTTCAGATCCCCATACCTGCCAGCCACCAAAAAAGAAATATATTTATGTGTGTGTACATAACTCTAACAAACATTTCACAAAACAATAGCTACCCTTACAAAGTGGCATGTATTCTATTTTCTGTTTCATTGTGTGTGTGGGTGTATGTGTGTATATGTGTGTTTTAAAGCTATTTTTGGATGGGCTATTTCATATAATTTGAAAAACACTGCTATATTATAGTTTCAGATCTGTGCTGTGTGACATAACATTGAGTGACTTTCCTTTTTAGTCCTTTGAGGTCACGGATGTGCAGTTGGCTTGCATTGATTTATGGTATTTGTGAAGCCCATCATAAGACTTCCCTGCAGAGGAAATTATAGTTTGGAAAATTTTCCTGCTGTTTGGCAACTTTTGTAGGAAATAGAAGACAGTAGGGTGGAAAAACTTCATCATATTGATTGTCTTTGCTGGGAGAGGCACACAACTATGTCTTATATTCAGGAGCAGGGTAGATTGTAATAAAACTTAACTGCAGCTCTTTTAGGTGTAGGTTTGGTTTTGTTTTAGAATGATCTTTTCCTCTCATAAGCTCCTTCCCAGTAGATAGAAGGATTTTTTAAAGAACAAAAGTCTAGTTTTTTGATAACTTTGTATCAGGTCGTAATTCCACATTGTTCTAATCCAGGTACAACGTTAGAGGAAAGAANGTACATAACTCTAACAAACATTTCACAAAACAATAGCTACCCTTACAAAGTGGCATGTATTGTATTTTCTGTTTCATTGTGTGTGTGGGTGTATGTGTGTATGTGTGTGTTTTAAAGCTATTTTCGGATGGGCTATTTCATATAATTTGAAAAACACTGCTATATTATAGTTTCAGATCTGTGCTGTGTGACATAACATTGAGTGACTTTCCTTTTTAGTCCTTTGAGGTCACGGATGTGCAGTTGGCTTGCATTGATTTATGGTATTTGTGAAGCCCATCATAAGACTTCCCTGCAGAGGAAATTATAGTTTGGAAAATTTTCCTGCTGTTTGGCAACTTTTGTAGGAAATAGAAGACAGTAGGGTGGAAAAATTTCATCATATTGATTGTCTTTGCTGGGAGAGGCATACAACTATGTCTTATATTCAGGAGCAGGGTAGATTGTAATAAAACTTAACTGCAGCTCTTTCTAGGTGTAGGTTTGGTTTTGTTTTAGAATGATCTTTTCTTCTCATAAGCTCCTTCCCAGTAGATAGAAGGATTTTTTAAAGAACAAAAGTCTAGTTTTTTGATGACTTTGTATCAGGTCGTAATTCCACATTGTTCTAATCCAGGTACAACGTTAGAGGAAAGAAACCAGCACTGCAACTGGCTGGTTTGGGGCTTGATTATAATTTTATTCATAGTATCTACAGTTATCAGTTGAGGAAGATGCACGTGGTTAGCTGTTAACCATTAAATATGTTGGCCACTATGTATTTTAGTAGCAGGATAAATGGAAACTTACTTTACATTTGTAATTCAGGAAGATGGGATTGCGGGGAGAGAGGGCTCACTCTCAGGGCAAGCACAGGGTAGCTCTTTTAGTGAACAGCCGAAGCTAGTACTGGACCTAAGGATGATATAAATGATACTTAAAAATTCAAATGGAGCTTTTTATGGGAGGACCCCAGGGTGATTGAAGGTTGTAGGGAGTGAGTTTTGCCCTTCATTTGATGCATGACCTTGGATGAGTATTTGCGCCTCTGTTCCTCCTTCAGTCTTCATTACAGATCGATGAGATAGTGACTGGAACAGACTCAACCAGAAAGGTGAGTCCTCTCCTCTCTCTTGATCTTCCCCATTCCTCTGACTCTTTTTTTTTTTTTTATAAGTGAGGAAGTACATGAAAATATAGAGCAAAAAACTGAAGGCCAATAAAGATACTCCCTTTTCAGCTCATTCTTCACTTAGATTTTAGTATTCTGAGTAGTTGGTTTTATTGTGATGGATAGTGAAGGATAAAGACCCAGAAAGAGAGGGCTGTCAAGTGCCAGGCAGCAGCAAAGCCTGGGCCACCTCGAGGTGCCTGTGCAAGTTAACGGCTTTGGTGGAACCTGACTTGGTGACGTGGTGAGCTGCCTTCCTAGTACAGAGACACCAGTGCCACCGTCCAGGTTTAGGGGTGTTCTTGTGACTGACACCTACACAGCTGCCATCTGGGGGTGCCGATGGGGCAGGGAGACTTAAGCCAGAGGCAGGTAAGCCAGATGCGTGTGGAGCATGTTTTCACCAGCTGAGGAGCCATGCAGACGCTCTGGGGGAATACAGGGGACGGAAGTACCACTGGTTTTAGCTCCCATTTTTCCTTATG